AGTTCAAGAGTCTAATAGACCACCATACAATAATCATGGGAGACTTCAACACACCTCTCTTGCCACTGGACAGATCTTCCAAACAAAAGTTGAATAAGGAAACTATAGAACTCAATAACAAAATTAATAACCTAGACTTAATTGACATATATAGAATATACCACCCAACATCAAGCAGTTACACTTTTTTCTCAGCAGCACATGGATCCTTCTCAAAAATAGATCATACATTATGTCACAGGGCAACTCTTAGAAAATATAAAGGAGTAGAGATAATACCATGCATCCTATCTGATCATAATGGAATGAAACTGAAAATCAATGATAAAAGAAGGAAGGAAAAATCATGCATCACTTGGAGAATGAACAATAGGTTACTGAATGATCAATGGGTTATAGAAGACATCAAGGAGGAAATTAAAAAATTCTTAGAGATTAATGAAAACACAGACACAACATATCGGAATCTATGAGACACATTTAAAGCAGTTCTAAGAGGAAAATTCATTGCTTGGAGTTCATTCCTTAAAAAAAGAAAAAACCAACAAATAAATGATCTCATACTTCATCTCAAAATCCTAGAAAAAGAAGAGCAAAACAACAGCAAAAGAAGTAGAAGGCAAGAAATAATTAAAATCAGAGCTGAAATTAATGAAATCGAAACAAAAGAAACAATTGAAAAAATTGACAAAACTAAAAGTTGGTTCTTTGAAAAAATAAATAAAATCGACAGACCCTTAGCCATGCTAGTGAAGAGAAGAAGAGAGAGAACTCAAATTACTAGCATACGGGATGAAAAAGGCAATATCACAACAGACACTTCAGAAATACAGAAGATAATCAAAAATTATTTTGAATCCTTATACTCCAATAAATTAGAAGATAGTGAAAGCATAGATAAATTTCTAAAGTCATATGATCTGCCCAGATTGAGTCAGGAGGATATAGACAACCTAAACAGACCAATATCAATTGAGGAAATAGAAGAAACCATCAAAAGACTACCAACTAAGAAAAGCCCATGACCGGATGGGTATACAGCAGAATTTTACAAAACCTTTAAAGAGGAACTAATACCAATACCTTTCAAGCTACTTCAGGAAATAGAAAAAGAGGGAGAACTTCCAAATTCATTCTACGAGGCCAACATCACCCTGATACCTAAACCAGACAAAGACACTTCAAAGAAAGAAAACTTCAGACCAATATCTCTAATGAACCTAGATGCAAAAATCCTCAATAAAATTCTGGCGAATCGGATACAAAAACATATCAAAAAAATTGTGCACCATGATCAAGTAGGATTCATCCCTGGGATGCAAGGCTGGTTCAATACACGGAAATCAATAAATGTTATTCACCACATCAATAGACTTAAAAATAAGAACCATATGATCATCTCGATAGATGCGGAAAAAGCATTCAACAAAGTGCAGCATCCCTTTATGTTCAAAACTCTAGAAAAACTAGGGATAACAGGAACATACCTCAATATTGTAAAAGCAATCTATGCTAAGCCTCAGGCTAGCATCATTCTGAATGGAGAAAAATTGAAGGCATTCCCTCTAAAATCTGGAACAAGACAGGGATGCCCTCTCTCACCACTTCTGTTCAACGTAGTTCTCGAAACACTGGCCAGAGCAATTAGACAGACGAAAGAAATTAAAGGCATCAAAATAGGAAAAGAAGAACTTAAATTATCACTATTTGCAGATGACATGATTCTATACCTCGTAGACCCAAAAGGGTCTACAAAGAAACTATTAGAGCTAATAAATGAATTCAGCAAAGTGGCAGGATATAAAATCAACACTCATAAATCAAAGGCATTCCTGTATATCAGCAACAAATCCTCTGAAATGGAAATGAGGACAACCACTCCATTCCCAATATCCTCAAAAAAATAAAATAAAATAAAATACTTGGGAATCAACCTAACAAAAGAGGTGAATGACTTATACAATGAAAACTACAGAACCCTAAAGAGAGAAATAGAAGAAGATCTTAGAAGATGGAAAAATATACCCTGTTCATGGATAGACAGAACTAACATCATCAAAATGGCGATATTACCAAAAGTTTTCTATAGGTTTAATGCAATGCCAATCAAAATCCCAACGGCATTTCTTGTAGAAATAGAGAAAGCAATCATGAAATTCATATGGAAAAATAAAAGACCCAGAATAGCAAAAACAATGCTAAGCAGGAAGTGTGAATCAGGCCGTATAGCGATACCAGACTTCAAACTATACTACAGAGCAATAGTAACCAAAACAGCATGGTACTGGTACCAAAACAGGCGGGTGGACCAATGGTACAGAATAGAGGACACAGAAACCAATCCACAAAACTACAACTTTCTTATATTTGATAAAGGGGCTAAAAGCATGCAATGGAGGAAGGATAGCATCTTCAACAAATGGTGCTGGGAAAACTGGAAATCCATATGCAACAAAATGAAACTGAATCCCTTTCTCTCGCCATGCACAAAAGTGAATTCAAAATGGATCAAGGAGCTTGATATCAAATCAGAGACACGCCGTCTAATAGAAGAAAAAGTTGGCTACAATCTACATACTGTGGGGTCGGGCTCCAAATTCCTCAATAGGACACCCATAGCACAAAAATTAATAACTAGAATCAACAAATGGGACTTACTCAAACTAAAAAGTTTTTTCTCAGCAAAAGAAACAATAAGAGAGGTAAACAGAGAGCCTACATCCTGGGAACAAATCTTTACTCCTCACACTTCAGATAGAGCCCTAATATCCAGAGTATACAAAGAACTCAAAAAATTAGACAATAAGATAACAAACAACCCAATCAACAAATGGGCCAAGGACCTGAGCAGACACTTCTCAGAGGAGGACATACAATCAATCAACAAGTAGATGAAAAAATGCTCACCATCTCTAGCAGTCAGAGAAATGCAAATCAAAACCACCCTAAGATACCATCTCACTCCAGTAAGATTGGCAGCCATTAGGAAGTCAAACAACAACAAGTGCTGGCGAGGATGTGGGGAAAAGGGTACACTTGTACATTGCTGGTGGGACTGCAGATTGGTGCAGCCAATTTGGAAAGCAGTATGGAGATTTCTTGGAAAGCTGGGAATGGAGCCACCATTTGACCCAGCTATTCCCCTTCTTGGTCTATTCCCTAAAGACCTAAAAAGAGCATGCTACAGGGACACTGCTACATCGATGTTCATAGCAGCACAGTTCACAATAGCAAGACTGTGGAACCAACCCAGATGCCCTTCAATAGATGAATGGATTTAAAAAATGTGGCATTTATACACAATGGAGTATTACTCTGCATTAAAAAATGACAAAATCATAGAATTTACAGGGAAATGGATGGCACTAGAGCAGATTATGCTAAGTGAAGCTAGCCAATCCCTAAAAAACAAATGCCAAATGTCTTCTTTGATATAAGGAGAGTAACTAAGAACAGAGTAGGGACGAAGAGCATGAGAAGAAGATTAACATTAAACAGAGATGAGAGGTGGGAGGGAAAGGGAGAGAAAAGGGAAATTGCATGGAAATGGAAGGAGACCCTCAGGGTTATACAAAAGAACATACAAGAGGAAATGAGGGGAAAGGGAAAAATAATACAAGGGGGAGAAATGAAGGTCAGTAGAGGGGGTAGAGAGAGAAGAGGGGAGGGGAGGGGAGGGGGGATAGTAGAGGATAGGAAACGTAGCAGAACATGACAGTCACTAGTATGGCAATATGTAAATCAATGGATGTGTAATTGATGTGATTCTGCAATCTGTATATGGGCTAAAAATGGGAGTTCATAACCCACTTGAAGCAAAGTGTGAAAGATGATATATCAAGAACTATGTAATGTTTTGAACAACCAACAATAAAAATAAATAAATAAATAAATAAATAAAATACAAAAAATAGGGCTGGGGATGTGGCTCAGTGGTCAAGTGCCTCCAAGTTCAACCCCCAGTATCAAGAAAAAAATAATAAATAAATAAAAAGGGCTGAGGATGTTGCTCACTGGTTAAGTATCTCTGTATCAAATTCCTGGTACAAAAAAAAAAAAGGCTTCCAATTGTTCTAGGAAGACTGTGAAGCACTGGTAGTTAACGAGGCACTGTACAATTCCCTGCTCTGAGGATATAGAGATGCATACAGCACACACTATCAGTGAAGCATGAATAGTCTTAGCGCACCTTCCAGTTAATGAGAACACCTCTCAAATACCAAAACCCACTTATAATCCGGAGATGATGTGTGGATATGCAGATCTACTATAGTCCAGATTCAATCATTCTTTATTTCTCATAGGTAATATACCAAAAAAAAAAAAAAAATTCTTTCCACATGGTAAATTCTTGGTTGTCTGGCTTTTTCTTCATCTCAGCCAGAGACATCGAACTTGTTCCTTTGCTCTTTTTTTTTTTAAAGAGAGAGAGAGAGGGAGAGAGGGAGAGGAGAGAGAGAGAGAGAGAGAGAGAGAGAGAGAGAGAGAGAATTTTTTTTAATATTTATTTTTTAGTTCTCGGTGGACACAACATCTTTTTTTGTATGTGGTGCTGAGGATCGAACCTGGGCCGCAAGCATGCCAGGGAGTGCGCTACTGCTTGAGCCACATCCCCAGCCCCCTTTGCTTTTATATATATCATCTATAATTGTAATTTAATGTTTCCTCAATGTTTCCCCTACCACTAGTGTTCCTGCTACTCCAGTTCTTTCTATAAAACACTGACAGACTAATCTTTTTAAAAAGCCATAAAAAAAACTATCATCAAAAGTTCCATCATCACCATCAGAAGTTCAGTATGCCACAAACTAGAATTCAAGGGCATCTGAGGTCTGACCCTGATCTGTTTCTTCAGCCTCCCTTGTTTTCAGGCAGATAAAACCCTCATAGTCCCTCAGAAGCCAGAATGCCTCTCCTAGATCTGTGGTCTTCACCAACACTCCCACAGCACAGTGCGTCCCACCTGTAAGACTGTAAGACGCCGCACCACAAGACACAGATTACCAAAGAGGTTTCCACTTTATTACAAAAGGCTGTGTGTTTATATAGGTCTAAGAGAGGTAGCAGGGGCTGAGGTAGATAACAGGTCACCCGTTTATTGGCAAGCACTTCCATATGTCAGTTCCGGAGCCCAAGAAGTTAATTCTAATTGGGGCTAAGGCTTCCCACCAGCAGGGTTTGAACATTGGCACCGGCGGGAACGTTTCGCGCCAGTGAAAGAAACAAAGAGGAGAAACAGGGTCGTTAGACGCCATGCTGGGGTTTTTCTCTGGGGTGCTGCTGCCGTTATATGTTTACCCAACATTCCTCCCTTTTTGTTTTCTTAGGAACTGGGGCGTCGTTGGTCAGATCTGGCTGCTTCTAGCTGTGCGGGGGCGGCGTAGTGCCTAGAAGGAGAAGTGGAGGAATGTTGGGGTGGGGGGGGGGTGGCAGGTCTGGGGATATCATGGCAACCAGAAATAAAACCCAGTGGCTATAGACAGCTACTTCCGTAGGGGTGAAGTCTATGAAAGTTCCCTGAAACCACAAGTCGTCGATGGCATCAAACCAGTCCTGGATGGAGGAGATTGTTGGTATCAGCCACTGGTCCTGTAACAGAGACTCTAGGAAATATTGGAAGCATTGCCTTGTCATGGCATCACCAGCACCTGAAGAACATCAGAGCGAACAAAAACAGCATGAAGACAAAAATTAAAGCAAATGTCAGTTTTTGGCAGAAGTTCCATGTCGGGGGACTGACAGAGAAGAGGCCAAGGGCCATGAGGAGGCTTAAAAGGACATAAAGGCTCAATAATCCAGGATGGCAGATTAAGAGGTTCTCTGGGCTCGTGGTCTCCCGCTGTCCGATGTCCATTGCATTCCATTGTGCCTGGTAGTGAGCTTCAGCAATGAGTGAGCTGTTCTCTTGAAGATGTTGGGGGCTCATCGGTCATCAGAGGCTGGTAGTACCTAAGCAGAGGCTGGTTGAAAATTTGGTTAGAGATCTTCCATAATTGGCCCTGTAGGAAGCAAAGCAGACAGGGCAGGAACAGACACATCAGGAAAAGAAGGCATATGGGCCCTAAAAGAGGCAACAGCCACGATTGGAACTAAAAAGAAGGTGGCAAATGGGTTTTGGTTTGGTGGATTTTTCAGAGGTAGCCAAGTCGGTGAGCTTGACTACATTAGTTTCCACAAGGCCTGATTCGTTGATGTAGTAACAGCATTCTTCCCCCAAGAAAAGACAGGTTCCACCTTTTTCAGCTGTGACTAAGTCTATAGCTCGTCAATTTTGAAGAGTAACTTGAGCCAAGGATGTGACCTGCCTTTGTAAAGATGCTAGAGATTCTGCCATAGAAGTGAGCGCTTGTTCAAGTTTAGAACTTAAGTCCTGTACAGCCCATAAGGAGTGTCCTAGAGCTCCACCAGAAATTCCGGCTCCCACTGCAGATACAGCCAGTGAGAGACCCCCACCAGTATTGGAAGGAAAGCAGCCCGCTTATTCTGCACTGGGGGAGACAAGAGGGCCTACACTTCAGCTGGGGTATAGAGAGTCAATTGCAGGACAAGCGTCACCAGTATACATGGGGTAGATGTGTTGGTGAATAAGATAGTGAAAGAGAACCATTACACCAGAAGAATGAGCCAGGTGGTGCATAGAGGGTGGAGTTAAAGGTGATGTTAGAGTGGCAAAACTTTGACTGGGAGATACCCAAGCCCAGGAGGCAGCGCCAGGGAATCACAGTATGATTAGACTCCTCAGGCTCCCATAATGGAGCGTCGGGTGAAAGGGTTTGGAGAGAATGGCGGGCAGATGGAGTGGAGAAATTTGAGAGGTCAGAAGCCGAGAAATTCAAGGGAACCAAGCAAAGGTTGAGTCAGAGAGGCGCATAAGTATCAATCAGTTGGTGTGATGGCAGGGAGGGTTAGATTTAAGAAGGTTACAGTTTCAGTGAGTAGTCATAGCCATGAATACTGTAGTGGACTCCTGACATTAGGCTCATATGGATCCTGTATGGATTCTAACAACTGCTATTCGGAATGCTTTATGTCATTAGAGATTAGCTACTGAGGGCTGGGAGGGTTGAAGCTCTCGGGAGATGGAGATGGAGCCACAGGGGGTGGGAGAGGATATGTCACAGTAGAAGGCAGCATTTACCCTAGAAGTCCAGCATGGATGGTTAGGTTCAGTGATAGCCAATTGATAGCCCCCTGAGATCAATCTGAAATTTCCAACACAGGAATCCCTGATGCATGCACGTGGGTTATGAACGTTACATGACCAGTAGGGGCATCCTCCATAAGTTTCGGGCCACTATTTGCAGTAATCCTCTGTCTGATCATATAAGAAGCAAAGGTAAGGCCTAGCTGCTTTTTTTAAAAGTTCAGAATTCTGGGAGGAGAGGGAAAGGAAGATAGATGCATTACATCCCGTAGGGGCGCAATCAACCGAAGAAACTAGGTGAGTGTAACGAGTGTTGCCTTGGACATATGTCTCTCTGACTTTGAATCTCCAAGTATAAGAGGAGGATGATGATGTCCCCTGGAGAAGGGTGATGACTATAAAAATACCACTTAAAAGAGTGGGAGTCATGGTGGAGTATGGGCGGTTACACGAGACAGGTGAAGCTTTAGAGGATAGTTAGGAAGTGGAGAGTAGGAGTAAAGGGGAGGTCTAGGAGGTGACTCTTAAGGCTCCTCTGGGGTAGTCTTGTCATCAGCAGGTGGGGCAGCCTCCTGGTGATATGGCTTCAACAGGATTCCTCAGTTTGATCTGCTATGAAGCATAGCATTGCTGAACATAAGTGGGAGGAGGTGGCCCAGTTGAATCCAGTAACATTAAGGGCTCGATTACAGCCAGTGAAAGGCCAATCGCCTTGGCCCATAGACTGAGAGCGGATGGTGCCATCCTGTTGCCATGTCGCTTGGATGTAGAAGCGCCATCTGTGGGTTGGGATAGAAGCTTGAGAGAGATTAATGATTAGTAATAGGAGAGGGTTGGAGAGAAACTTTGAGTTTGGTGGGCCCCGGCATGGCAGAAATATGACTGTATGGGGTCCTGTCCAGTGAGGTTTCAACGACTGAGAATGTAGCTCTCGAAGTAAAACTGCATCACCTGGTTGAAGAGGGTCCTATTTAATTCCTGATTGTGCTGGAACAGAAGTAACAGATGGTGCAGGAAGACACCAGTGTGCGTGTTCTCTTAGGAGTTTGTATAGAAGCATGAGATAGGGCAGGTGGGACACAAGGGGGGGAGGAGTGACAGGAAAGTTTTAGTTGGTTAAGAAAGGCATCCATAGAACAGCTCAAAGGGGCTAAGGCCTGAGGGGGCTCTAGGAGTTGCCCGAATTTGGGTGAGGGCCAATGGCAAAAGATTGGGCCAGGACAGTCTGCGTTCAATAGCAAGTTTAGTGAGATGATCCTTGAGAATGCCATTAGGCCTCTCAACCTTACCCGAGGATTGGGGTCAGTGGGGGATGTGGGGCCTCCAACTGCTGTTAAGGCCTTTGGAAACTAGTTAAACAATCTGAGAAATGAAGGCTGGACTGTTGTCTGACTGGATGGAGGCAGGAAGTTCGAACCTAGGAATGATCTGCTCAACGAGGATGGAGGTGACAGTGTCAGCAGTTTCCAATGGTGTCAGCAGTTTTCCTGGAGGTAGGGAAGGCTTCTATCCAACTGTAAGAGAGTGCTATCCCCAAATTACAAACAGTTAAATCCTGTGTCAAGGCCTGACCAAAGTGGTAGGGACTGTCCCTGAAGCCTTGGAGTAGGCCTGTCCATGTCAGCTGTTGAAACCTAAAGAATGTAAGGTCTTCCCATGTGAAGGCAAAGAGGTAATAAGAGTCAGGATGCAGAGGCACTGTAAAGAAATCAGCTTTAAGATCCAGGACAGTGAAGTGAATGGTCAAAGGGGGATATGAGAAAGAAAAGTATGAAGGTTGGAAACCGAGTGGATGGGAATAACTCCCTCATTAATTAGGCGGAGTTCCTGGACTAAGCGATAGGCTCTGGAGGGTTTGCGCACCAGAAATATAGGAGTATTACAGGGGGAGTCAGTAAGGATTGGGAGTCCCTGGGCCAGCAACCAGTGTATAATGGGCTTAAATCCCTCCCTATGGGTTTTGGAGATAGGAAATTGGGAACACAAGGAAGTTTAATTTGGTGTTTCAGCTGGGTATGGACTGGCTTGTGGTGGGAGGCAATAGCCAGCATGGAAATGTCTCAGACCTAGGGATCAGGGGGCAATGGCACAGTAGGTATTGTCAGGTCATTAGAGAGGGTAAGAGTTAAAGGACAAAGGAGATGGGTGGTAGTATTCTTGGGGTATAACTGGAGGGTAGCTCCTAATAATTGGAGAACATCTCTGCCTAGGAGAGGAACTGACAGGATGGAATGATCAGAATAGTGAGTGAATGGGTGTCCCTCCAGGGCACAGGCCAGCTTTACAGTTCTGTTTGGGGAGAAGGGTTTGTTATCAATCCCCATAACTGAGACCTAGGAAGAAGACAGAGGCCTAGAATGGGCAGACAAGACAGAATAGGTAGCCCCCGTGTCCACAAGGAAGGTTATGGACTTACCCGCTGCCTGGAGCATTACCCTGGGCTCAGAGAGGGCTGGGGGGGGGGGTCTTTGAATCTGGGCTTCTTCAGTCTTCTGCAAACCCCGAAAGTTCAGGAGAGGGGACTGCCTGACTGGTCATACCCCCTGCGTAGAGGCACCAAGGAAGGGCCAGCCAGAGGCAATCAATCTTCCAATATCCTGTCTGCTTACAGGTGGGGCATGGCCTGGAAGGAGGCTGTGGGTTTGGGCATTGGCGAGCCCAGTAATCTTCGCATCCATATTTGAGGCAAGCCTCTGGTGGAGAAGAATGCTGGTTCCCCTCTGAAACTTTTGCTGGAGATGTAGGCCTCAGGGCTGCTGTCAAGGCCTGAGTTTGGGGTGTTACCTTCTTTTCTGCAATGGAGCCTGCTTTAAAAGCCATTTTCACCAGATCTTAGATAGGAGTCCAATAGTCCTCCTCAGCTCATTTGAGCTTTTTCTAATATCATGAGCCGATTGAGTAATGAAATGGGTTGCTAACACTGTAGCCCTGATGGGAGACTCAAGATCTAGCTTAATGTATTTGGTTAGGGCCTCTGTAAGGCGGTTGAGAAATAAGGATGGATTTTCATCAGGGTTCTGGGTAATGTCCTTCAGTTTATCAAAGTTAACTACCTTATTAGAAACTGCTTGTACGCAGTCCCAGTTAGGTTCAGTTATGGGATGTGCACTTGGACTATGCCTTCAGCACCAGCTACTTCCCTGACAGAACAAAGGAACTGTGAGTTATCTGATAAGTGGGATCAGTGAAGCACTGACAGGAGAAGAGAGGCGTGAGTAGGGGGAGGGGAAGGGCTTATCAGTAGAAGAGGTGAGCAGAGTTGGGGGAGGAGGAGAGGCTCAGAGGGATCCGGAGATCCCACCCATTGCAGCCAGGTGGGACCCATCCTGCCTGCCCGTTGGAACCAGGCGGCAAAGTGAGGGGCGCGCAAGTCGGGGGCTCGTGCAAAAGCTGCTGTGGCGCAAGGAAGGTGAAGGATAGCGGCTCACCCGCCGGCTGAGATGGGATCCCGAGGCCTCTCCAAGCCGACGAGGGCACACTACCGGCCCATTTCGCTCGCCGCGCACGTGTCTGGTGGCCAGGCAGACTAGAAGCGCGCAGACAGAGCCATGGGCGGTGGCGGCGGTGGTGGCGGTGGCCAGGAAGAAAAGGGAGGGGAGGGGGATGTCTCCGCAGAAGAGGAGGGGAAGTGCACAGGCAGGGCCACAGGGGCGGCTGCAACAGGGAGAGGGAGGGGACGTGGAGGAAGAGGAGGGGGGAGTGCGCAGGTAGTGCGCAGAGGGGAAGGTTGGGAACAGAGAGCAGAAGGCAGGACGGGGAGGGGGCCTGGGAACTCTTTCTACCCTTTCAGGCGCTGGCAATAGTTAAAAGGTCCTGGAGGAAATTTGGATCTAAGGAGCCTTCTGGAGGCCAATGATTGTCATTATCTAGCTGATATGTGGGCCAATCTTGGGTACAGAATCTGATAAGAATTTGGGGCTTGAGGTCCGGGGGGAGAGAGAGAGTAGCCAAATTCTTAAGGAGACACTTGAGTGGTGAGGCTTCCGGTATAGGCGAGGAGGCACCAGTGGTTAAAGAGTGGAGGAAGGGACAGAAAAGGGAGAAAAAGAATTAACCCGGGCAGTAGAGGCTTCCTGGAAGCGTAGAGCAGATGGAGGATCACCTGGGCGTCCCCGAAGTGACCAGTCCACTGCGAGTAGGCACAGAGGGCACAGCGGCTCCTCTGGGCGGGGGCGTGCGCAGCTCTGGGCCGGGCGAGGCGCACGGCTCCCGGCCAGCAGGGCGCGCGGGGCGAGCAGCCCCGGGCCCGCGGGCCGGGCGGGGCGTGCAGCTCCCGCGGTGCGCAGCTCTGCAGAGGAGGAAGAGACCAGGGAGCCTCTCTCTGTAAATCCAGAAGCCTCACGCCTCAAAGGGAAGCGGGTCGCCAGAGGGTCCACTTCAACCAGTGAAGGTCTTAGTGGGGTGTATTCCCTCCTCCCTACCGGTCGTCAGGAGAGTGCTAACCTGAAGGGAGTTGGCGAGCCGGGGAGGGGGCACCTTACCTAGACCCGATCAGTGGTGAGTGCAGGAAGCCCGCACCCAAAAAGACAGACAAGGGCAAAATGTGTCGTTGGTGACGGCGGTGGCAGAAGCGGGGCTCGGTTTGTCGAGCACACCGTCTCCCCGGTTTCTGGCACCACTGTAAGACTGGAAGACGCTGCACCACACGACACAGATTACCATAGAGGTTTCTGCTTTATTACAAAAGGCTGTGTGTTTATATAGGTCTAAGAGAGGTAGCAGGGGCTAAGGTAGATAACAGGTCTCCCATTTATTGGCAAGCTCTTCCATATGTCAGTTCCGGAGACCAAGATGTTAATTCTAATTGGGGCTAAGGCTTCCCACCAGCAGGGTTTGAACATTGGCGCTGGTGGAAACGTTTCATGCCAGTGAAAGAAACAAAGAGGAGAAACAGGGTCGTTAGACGCCATGCTGGGGTTTTTCTCTGGGGTGCTGCTGCGTTATATGTTTACCCAACACCACCCAAGCCCCACACTTGCTTGAGAGGCCCTCAAACCTTGCCTTCCATCAGGCTTTCTCCCATGGCCCAGGACCTAGAATCAGACCTGCATCTGAGCCCAGATAAGATAGACTTCTACCAATTCAGGTACTCTCCCTCACATAATCAGCTCTCTGCAAGTAGGCTCTACATCTCAGGAAAGACTACAGGACTTTCAAAGGCAGAAGTCATGTTTGCATAACTTTCTGTTCCCAAGATCTAGCATGATGTTCAATGGCAAATGTTCAATAAATGTCTGCCAGTCATATCTGATTGTGTGTAAACTGTTTGCTTTGGTTATTGATTAGACACCATCCAACTGACAGTTAAACACCTCCTCTGGTCAGTGACCTTGACTTTACTTCTGTCTCTGTAATAATGTGTAAAACTCAGCAGGATTTACTGGCCTTTCAGTAATTAAGTAATTGGCCAGTGGTAATGCATTGCAAACATCACCCAATGAGCTTCAGCCTCCTATTTATAAAACAAACCGTGCTAGCCTCTAAACTATGACACTTGATATCCGTGGGAAGGTACCAAAACAATTTCTGAGGAATGAGCTAAATCCAGCCCCCCCCCCCAAAAAAAAAGAGGTGGAGGGGACAATATTACTTTGTTTTCTTTATCCTAATATTAGCATCTGTGCTGAAATAGCATATGAGTACCTGGTCAACATGTCTCACTGTAAATAGGTGAGAAAGCTAAATTGAAAAACAGGCCAACGAGGATAATTGGGAAAGCACTCACCTCAGCAGGGGCAGGGTTCCACTTAGGTGTGGGATGAAAAGAAGATTCTAAAGACACTGCTGGCATTGAAGGGAATAGGCATGTAACCTGCAAGCAAATAGAGCCACATTGCAAAATCTATATCCAATTAATGTAAGGATTAAGAGATAATAAATGCCCTGGATTCTGAGTAGACTTTAAGTGGCGCTTAGCAAGACTAACAAGATGAAAAAACCTGACGAAGCATTGGCAAGCAGAACAATGTTTTCCATATCATTTTTTTAAAACTGAATAAGTATTTTAACATTGTTTGCAACCCAACATACACATAGGATGCATTATGATTTTACGTAAATGTTATTGTCCAGGTACAGTTAATTATATCCACTGAAGGCAAATATTGCAGATAATTAAGAGATAGAAAAACATCCGGTAACTCTCAATCCCAGAGGCACCCTAACTTTCAGCAGCTCCCCGTGCAGCTACTGCCCAGAATTCAAAAAGGACAGGACCTCTGAAGAGAAAGGGTCCAAAGATAAAGTTCCTATATTGCATGACTAGTAAGTGGAAAATATTAAAAGTATTTAACATACATATAATATTTATATGTATTTATTTTAAAATTGCATTCCTTAGATTCAAGTTGACTTTCTAGACCAAGAATAATAGCAAAACTGAATCAGAGATCGATTCTTGACAAAAATGCCAAGGCTGCCTCTAGCTTTGGTAGGAAAAAGTACTGCAATAGATTAGTGATGTCTGTTGTCTGCAAAGAGAGCTGCCTGTTGGTAGAATGCATGCCACATACTCACCACTTCTAACTCAGACATTTAGTTGTGGAGCATATTGTGGGTTTTCCGAGCTCTGACCTGGATTCAGTCCTCCCAAAGCAAAAGTAGTTCTCTATGTAGATCAGCCACCTCATAGGAGGAATGAAGGGCAGATGGGGGCCCCTTCCTTCAGGTAAAACCATTCCATTGAAAGGCTGACATAGTGTGTCTGAATTTTCTGCTTTGCAAATATATCTCAGGGGAAAATGCATAGAATATGAAGATTCAAGTTTCCCCTTGAAGAAAAGTGTGTTATAATTGTTAGCACTCCATAGTGAAAAGAGTATCTGTTTATAATTTGCTGCACATGAAATACTTTAAAATATTAACTGACTTCTTTTTCCCATTATTTACCTCTTCCCCTTTCTCTGCCTCCCTGCCCCACTCCTATTTCAAATTGTGACTCTATTGCAGGTTCTCTCTTCAGTAGAAGGACTTGACAAGATGATAAAATGGAAATCACTTGCCAGACACTTGCAGTGCAGCTCCCAAAAATCTAAACCAAGTTTGCAAACAAGCAGTCTTCTGTCCATGTACAGTCCAAAGCTGTTTTGTAGACCTGCATAGCATAGTAACAACGTTTGCCAACATTCAGACTTTAAGAAGAACAGCCACACTTTAAACTTCCCTTAAAAAAAAAAAAAAAAAGGAACTGTCAACACTTATCCTGTCTTTCCTCAGGACAACATTCAGCTAGAACTAACAACTTTCCCATTTAGGAACCACTATACCAAGCCAGGCATGGTGTGCATGCTTGTAATTCCTGCAGCTCAAGAGGCTGACGCAGGAGGATCACAAGTTCAAGACTAGCCTGGGCAACTTGATGAGACCCTGTCAAAATAAAACAAAAAGGGCTAAGAATGTAGCTTAATGGTAGTATACTTGCCCAGCATGTGCAAGGCCCTGGGTTCAACCCCCGCGCCTACAAGAAATTTTTTAAAAATTATAAAGTAAATATTTAAAACCCACTACACAAAATCAAATAAAAGCAACAAAAACAAAAGAAAAAGTGGCATGTCCTCTCCTTTTTGACCTCTGTCCTCACTCACCTGTTTCACGGTTTACCTCACTTCTCTGGCCTCTGGAAGTTGTCGCTGGAGGCCTGCACCCTGTAAGGCAAAATCATCATGGCAGAATTGTACCTGGGAAGGAAAACGTTTTGGTCAGCTTTTTCACTCCTGTGACTAAAAGACCTGACCAGAAAAATTTTAGGGAAGAAAAGTTTATTTGGGAGCTCACGGCTTCAGAGGTCTTAGTCCATTGAATGTGAGCTCCATTCCTCTGGGCTCAAGGTAAGGCAGGACATCCTGGTGGAAGAGTGTGGGAGAGGAAAGCAGCTCACATGATGATCAGAAAGCAGAGAGGTCTCCATGCTCCAGAAACAAAATATATACCCCATAGCCCCACCCGCAATGAACCACTTATTCCAGCCATACCCCACCTGCCTCCAGTTACCACTCTGTTAATCCCATCAGGGATTAATTCACTGATTAGGTTAATCATTAGCTCGATCATTTCTCCTCCAAACCTTCTTGCATTATCTCACACATGGGCTTTTGGGGGACACCTCATCTCCAAACCATAATAGAAAAGTTGTTCAAGAGAAGATTAGAGATTAAAATTTAAATACCCTCAGGTGGGGCAAGGAAAATGGCCAAGGAAAGTCTAGAATGAAAACTGATTCTCAAGCAGGGTGTCAGGAGGATGAGAGCCAGCACTGCAGGGACTCCATGGTGAGGAATGCAGGTCCGAAGGTCTGTGCTCCTGACCCAGGGTGAAGCATCAGGGGTCGGCTCTTTGACTTCCAGAAAGGACTGTTCTGTAATAGCAGCCAGCAGCTCAAATTATGAACACCCAGAGAAAATACTTGGTCTCTTAGCCCAAATGGACCATCCTTACCTCATAAATCTAGAAATACCAAAGGCCCAGAAGGAAAAAGAATGAATCCTGGGCTTTTATAGATTAAAGTAGAGAGGAGAAAAGGAAAGGTTTGTGCCTTAGTGTGCCAGAAACCAAACCGGTTTGAAAGTACTTGAGCTAGGACAATGGCTCTCTTCATCTGATTTCTTCCTTATTAAGTACTCCACACCATTATTTTGCATTTAAACTTATGAAGTACTGCCTGATAACATTCATTCACTCTGCAGGCATTTATGGAACCTCCATCAAATAGCAGGCACTGTTCATAGTTCTGAGGATACAAAGTGAATAATGAGATGCCCCTGTCATCAAGGGGCTTACAGTTACCTGTAGAAACATCTATAAGTATACATTATAAAGACAGTTTTGTGATTTGGCAGGAAAGGGTATTTTAAAAAGGCATTTTATCTTTTCATGATAAAAGTCACTGAGGAACCTTAGGATAGAAGGGGACTTCCTTGACCTAAAAAAACAAACAAACAAAAAAAAACCCACACCTAGCATTATGCTCAGTGGTCAAACACTGGATGCTGTCCCCTAAGACTAGAAACACAACCAAGCTGTCCATGTTCCTCTCTTCTACTCAACAATGTTTTGGAAGTTCTAGGAAGAATGGAGCAGGGAAATTGCTAAAGGGTATGTGGTTTCTTCGGAGCTAGTAAAAGTATTCCAAAATTAGATAGTGGTGATAGGACGCACATTCTCTATGCATAGATTAAAAACCACTGAATTGACTATTTTAAAGGACAACTTAATTTTGTGATGTTAATTATATCTTAATAAAATCATTATTAAAGAATACTTTTCTGGGGCTGGGATTGTGGCTCAGAGGTAGAGTGCTCGCCTAGCACAAGCGAGGCCCTGGGTTCGATCCTCAGCACCACATAAAAAAAATAAAATAAAGATATGTGTCCACCTATAAGTAAAAAATATTTTTTTAAAAAGAATACTTTTCAATGCAAGTAACAGAATTCCTGACTAAAAGGGCTTTAAACCTTAAAGGTATTTACAGTTTATACAATAACATGTCTAGAAGTAATCGGTCTCAGGGCTCATTCAGTAATTCAACAAGGTACTTTCTATATTTTCACTTAACTATTGTTTTAATCAGCTTTTTCACTGCTGTGACTAAAGGACCCGACCAGCACAATTGTAGAGGAAGAAACGTTTATTTATTTTTTTTTAGAGAGTTTTTTTTGTAATATTTATTTTTCATTTTTCGGTGGACACAACATCTTTGTTTGTATGTGGTGCTGAGGATTGAACCCTGGCCGCACACATGCCAGGCGAGCGCGCTACCGCTTGAGCCACATCCAAAGCCCGAAGAAATGTTTATTTGGGGGCTCACGATTTCAGAGGTCTCAGTCCATAAAAGTTTGACTCCATTCTTCAGGGGGGCTCAAGGCAAGCAGAACATCATGGTGGAAGAATGTGGTTGGGGAAAGCAGCTCACATGATCATCAAAAAGCATAGAGAGAGGTCTCCACTTGCCAGATATAAATACATACCCCAAAGCCATGCCCCCAATACCCCACCTTCTCCAGCCATACCCCACCTGCCTTCAGTTACTATTTAGTAAATCCCACTTGTTAGTTCACTGATTGGGTTAAGGCTCAATCATTTCTTCTCTGAACCTTCTTGCAGTGTCTCACATGTGAGCTGTTGGGGGACACCTCACATCCAAACCATAACAACTATTCACACTCACTGACTTTTTAGTCTCATATTCATCACCTCTGGATCTATTAAATGGCTACTGTAGCTCTAAGCATCACATCTAAGTTGAAGATGAGATAAAATGAGAAAGAATGATGAGGGAACTCCTCTCTTGCATCTATTCTTTTTATCAAGAAGCTAAAGTCCCACTAATCTGCTTATCTTTTGTTTCAAAGGCAGGAGCTCAGTTACATAGTTTATTCTATCATAGAAACTGAGAAAGGGAGAAGAGAGTTATGAATGAATATTGGGTTATTCAGTCAACAGTGTGACTTCAATGGAGATATACCTCCACTTATGCGTCTACTTATGTCAAAGGTACCTGACAATCATCATATCCAGTTCTCCATTCATCATCCCTTTCCCTACCACCACCACCCACCCACCAAACCTGATTTGCCACAGACCTGGCTTCCTTGATCTTTTCTTTCCCTTGCCCCTGGACCTAATCAATTTCTATTATTTTACCTCCTAAGCCCCTCTCCTATCTATTCACCTATTTCTATCTCCTCCCTGCATCTATACCATTCTCTACAGTATCAGAATGTAGCTTAAAAATGCAAATTAGCTCATGTCACTATGATACTTAATATTTTTTGAAAGCTTTTCATCCATATTGTAAAAACAATAATATAAACTAAAACTTATCAAGTTTCCTTATGATTTGCTATGCCAGGCCTCTGTACATGCTATTCTTCCTGATTTAAAAGTTTCCCCCATTTCTTTACCTAATTAATTCCTACTCATTCCTCAAAGCTCAGCTCAGACATAGTTTACTCTAAAAACCTCCCTAATTCTCCAAATCATGGCAAGTCATCTGATATAGGATGTACACCATGCATTTTGTCTTCATCCATTGAACACAAACACAATTAACTCTAGGAAGTACTGTGTTTACCCTCTGTCTCTCTTGCATGAAAGTAAGCTAATAAGCCAGGGCAGCATTGTCTTGCTCTCTGACCCTTCTCCCCTGTTTAGCACAACACATTGCACCTGGGAGGCACTCTGATATTTATTTGAAGATATAAAAGAGTGAATGAAATAATGAATACAGGGAAAGTATTCTGAGTCAATTACTAACACAAAGAAAACCTCTGTACCTCAGAGCAATGGGAGGGCAGGAAGGTTAAAGGGACTTGACTTCCTCCTGAAGTACAGTAGAGCCTTCTTTGTAAATGGATTCTTCAGGCATCAGCAGCCTTTGGTGACAGATTACTAGAGCATTCAATGATATGTGCTCAGGAATTCATTTCTGTTTTAATCAGCTTTGTATCACTGTGACCAAAATATCTGACATGAACAATTTAGTAGAGGGAGAATTTTATTTGGGGATCACAGTTTCAGAGGTCTCAATCCATAGATGGCTGATTCCATTGGGCTCAAGGTAAGATGGTACCTCATGGCAGAAGGACTCAGCAGAGGAAAGATGCTTAGCAAATGGTGGGGTCAGAGAGATGAGGGAGGGAGGGAAGAAGAAAGGGACCACAGAAAGATAACGCTTTCCAGGGCATGCCCTGAGTGACCCAGCTTCTCCAACCACACCCCACCTGCCTACAGTTAGCATTCAGTGGTCTCATTAAACCAGGATAGACTGAGTAGGATGCAGCTCTCATCTCCAATTATTTTACCTCTGAATATTTCTGCATTAACATGGGGGGACACCACAGAGCCAATCCATAACAGTTTCCAATTCTATCCTGTCTCTAGTTCAAGTGTCATAAAGCCTAGGATAATTTCTGACAAAGTTGTAAGGAGTACCACATGGAGTTAGGCTCAAGGCAGGTACTCCATATATACTTGGAGATTAATTATATCCTATACCACCAAAGGGTAGCACCAGTGACTTCTGATCTCAAAAAAAAAAAAAGAAAGAAAGAAAGAAAGAAAGAAAAGTTATAAGGAATAAGTAAAAACTTATTTGCTGGGAGCCATTAGCCAAGTAGGTATGACAATTTCCTTGCCAGCGTACCCCATGTTGCTGACATGTTGCAGTGACATTATATGTAGGTGACCTTGCTCAAGGACCAAGGCAGATTAGGGTGTTCCCGGTTTTAAGATAATTGTGTTTAGGGCGTTCCCAGTTTAGGTTCCAGGTTTAAGGTTTAAGATTATTCCTGCTGGGAATAGGGCGTATCCTGCTGCCTGAGTTCCCCTTGAGTTCTCACGGGATTCAGACAATATATTTTGGAGATAGAAGCCCAGTGGAGGTGGATTTGGGAGAGAACGCGGATTTGGGAGAGAACGTGGATTTCCCCAGAACGTGATTGTAGACGGCTGGTGTGAGTTCGGGAATAAAGAGTTGCTGTTTGAATCTACAAGCTGTGTGGTGGCTCGTGATTTTGTGCCCAGCCAGACATTGGCATTTGGTGGCCCGTACGGGGAACTTCTGAAGCTTGGAGGTAAGTGAAATTGCTTGCCCCTGAAGAAGAGCGAAAGAATGGGTGACCAACTCAAAAAACAATATGTTATTGTTTTGATTTATCTTGTTTTTGTTTCAAGCTGCCTATCCCTAGAACTTTCTCAGGCAAACCTGGGAAAATGGTTGACTCAAGGTTTGAAGTTATTCGCCTCCGAGCAAAAGAAATTATTAGAGGAAGGAGGCACCCCAGTGAGACCAAGAACAATTAGGGCATATGTTGATACAATACAAAAATGTAGCCAATGACTTTTTAAAGATGAGTTATTAAGTATATTAATGAGACCATCATGGTATCCTGTAGAAGGATTTTTCTTCAACAAGAAAGAGATGGCTAGTTCTGTTTACTACATTTGTCTAAGATCTTGGTTTTTACAG